GATCTGCCTCAATGCTGCCCCCCTCCGAAGCAGCTCCCGAGGGGGTGGGTCTACAGAAACTCCGCCTACAGCCCGCCCCTCTTGTCCCCGTCCTCGCACCCTATTGGCTGCCTTGTTAAATATGGACTAGTGAGGGCGTGGTGAGAGGGAAAATGAGGCTCATCCCCACATGTAGCACTGTGCCGGCCCGCCCATGGACCGCCCCCTCTTCAGTCCCACCCCGCCCCCAGCCAGGACAACCTTGCTCCCTGTGCTCGCCGGGAGCCCAGGACAGCCACGGCTCAATCAATCTCTTCTCGCCTCTCAGTCTCGTTCTTTACAAAATTTCTCCACTTACTACATTTTCACTTTCTTTTCCTGTTTTCCTTCCTCATACTCTTCTCTCTCTCTCTCATCTCTCTCTCTTTCTCCCTCCCTTAGATGAGTATCTCCGGGAATTCTCGTCTCTCTGTTGGTCTGGTTGCCTTTCTCGGTCGCGCCCTCTCTCTTTTTCTCCCCCTCCTCCTTTTCTCTCTGTTTCCCCTCTTTTCTGTTTCCGTTTCGTCTGGTGTTTCTCCCTGTCTCGCCCTCTCCCCTCCCAGACACACACACAGACACACACGCAAGCACTTCTCCCTCCCTCTTCTCGCTATCACGGTAGGACCCTCCCCTCGCACTTAATTCCTTCCATCTGCACAATCGCTTTGCGAACCGACTGCACCAACGGGGCCCAGGTTCCTGCCCCAGGAAAGACTCCCCGCCCCCTTCTCTCCCTGACCCCCTCCCCCTCTCCCTTCTCCTATTTCTGCTTTGGGCCCGCCTCACCACTCGCCCCTCTCCGCCCTGGCCCTGGCCCCAGCCGGTTCCTATGCTTTGGCAGGTCGCCAGGACCCCAGCCTGGGTGGAGAGCTAGGGAAGACGGCTGTCACCCACCTCTCTGGGACAACCAGCTAGTCTAAGTGTGCCTGAGTGAAGCCCGATCCTCGCCTCCGCGAAACACAGGAAACCCCTTCAACCTCTCAAACTCAGAGTAGCCGGCGCTGCACCAGCACCCGCGGACCTAGCGGCCAGGCACAGTTGCATGGTGCCGGTCCAGCGAAACTGGCTGCCTGGTGGGGACAGAGTCACCTCTCCCACCTTCAGTCTGGCCCTGGAGCCATTCTGCCTGGTTTCCAAGTGCCAGACAGACCTTCCAGTTGAACGACCTGCATGTGGTGTCTAATCTCTGCCACCGAGTCTGTTTTCTCCCCTATAAAAAGGAAATGGTCATAGTCCCACCTCCATGGACGTTTGTGAGTTTACGTTTGGGCTCGGTAAGCAGAAGATATTGCATAAAGGTCCGCTTTCTGTCGCCCCTCCTCCCCCCCAGGAGGATTTCTCCCGTTGCTGTTCTAGACGCAGCCCCTAAGCAGATCTGTGGATACTTGGACCAAAAAGGCCTTCGGTGAAGATCACATGCTCTTTCCTGATGACAGAGCCCCTCTGGTCTCAGACCTCTGTTTTCAACTCTTTTGTCTGTGAAACAATCTGAGATTATTAATATAAATAATAGCACATATGCCAATTGTGTTTTAATATCCTTATTCATCAAAGACACATCTATATAGTACCTTTTATATTTTAAAACCTAGTAAACCTATTTGTTTAAAGAGAAGGTACACTTCTGTTGGAAATAAGCGTGATAGCCATTTTTCTCTTAAAGGTATTCTGGGTCATTTCTGGAACACTGCTATTACCTCTGAGCTTCCAAGTGTAGGGAGTGGGATTTCAAACCATGAATCCGGACCTTCCCTACAATTTATAAGGAGACTGCTGTTCAGAGAAGGGATATTTAGCAGCTATACAGGCAGCTAGATGGCAAGCCCAAAGGAGACGCCAAGGCACTGATCCCTAGCCAGGAGCTCTCTGTCTCCTGTTGTATTAAAAAGGTGACATTTTCCCCTGGAATGGGTTGCAAATTCAAAGTCATTTAGGGGCCAGATGGCAGGTATCTATCTACCAGGTATAACCAAGAAATACAATCGATAGTGGTGGGATCTGTGAACTGAAGTGCTAGTCAAGCAAAATGCTTGTGTCATGGTCTTAGTCTGAGGCTATGAGTCTGACACCCACTTAGACACGTTTGGTCCTTCCCTGGTCTTCAGGGTAAGTTGACGCACAAGGGTGCTTGCCATACCTGGTGGCCACATTGATAGCCTCTGCCCCTTTCTCCTTTCCTTAGGTTCCTACACAGAACCCAGTGCATAGATAGTGATGGTTGAGAAATATTTGCTAGATCAGTGATTGCATCGGTGGGTGGAGAGACAGATGGGAGGATGGCCAGATTACGTTCTCACTGAAGCCTGAATGGCTTCTTTGGCTTTCTATATTCCTTCCCCACCCACCACCACTACCACACTCACAGCACACCTGCTTAATTAACACATGGACTCTGTGCCGAGAAGGTGATCAATACATATGAACAACTCATAGGCCGTGTTCCTAGATAGCAGCTGATTGGCTCTAGTCAGCCCCTCAGCTGGCCCCTGGGGACATATGTTCCAGAATTCCCTGAGACAACATGTCCTATCGAATGAAGGGTGTCTTTGTCCATTTTAAGTTGTCAGAGTACTAGTGACCGGGTAATTTGTAGAAAAGAAACTTACTTCTCATCGTTCCAGAGGTTGGGAAGCAAAGTATCAAGGTGCTGGCTCCTAGAGAGGGCTTTCTTGTAACATCCCACAACAGAAGGCAGAAGGGCAAGAGAGTGCAAAGGAGGGGGGCTGGACTCTTTTCATCACTGCCAAGATAACAGCATTAATCCATCATGAGGCAGAATCCTCATGGCCTAATCACCTCTTCATGGCTCCTCCACCTCTTAATTCAATCATGATGGCAATTAAATCTCAACATGAGTTTTGAAGGGAACATTCAATCCAAAGCAGAGGGTAATAGAAGTGAGTGACCAGATGGGTATCAGAAGCCAAGAAAAAGACATTCAGGCCCAAACTCTGTACTCCTTACCTGTTTTAGTCTGTCCTATTGCATTGCTACTAGAAATAACCAAGACTGGGTGATTTATAAAGAAACAGATGTTTATTCAGTTCATGGTTTGGAAGTCTGAGATCCAGTGTCACTTCTGGTGACACTGTAACATGGCAGAGGATCTTAGCATCTTAAGCAGAGCAGCTATCCAGAAGTTTCCTTTGTTCTGCTCTACACCCATGTGGCTCTGCTGCCTCATTTCCTCTCCTTATGTGCATGTCAGAACTCAGCCATAGATGCCCCACCCTAATGACTTTATCACACCCAAAGGCCCCACCCTGAGGTAACATGAAAAGATTAAAATGTTCACTTAGCACCTTTACAACACCATCAGGTCCCAACCCACCAATCTGAGGGGACATACAATTACTGTCCACTAAGACCAGATTCTAAATCATGAATCTTTGGGGGACAAACCACGATCTGAACCGTGACACTGCTCCATCGTGTATACTCTAGGGAGCTTTGATGTAAAATGTCAGCAGTCTAGCCCACGCTCTCACTTTACAGAGGAGGCACCATGTGCCAGAGAAGGGTGAAGGACTTGCCGACAGTCACCAAGCCACCTGCTCCTAAGCCACTGCCACATCTAAGCTCTTCCTTGTTTGGTCCCAGCCTGGCAGATGCCTGGTGTGGCAACTCTGGCCCATATACTGTCATCAGAACTGTAGGTAAAAGGGTGCGTCTCATGTCCCGGCCCTCTTCCCTGTCTGGTGATTCCATTCGTCCTTGTTTCCAGAATGGGACAATGGAGAGAAGACAGGATTTGGAGAAAAGAAAGCTGGCTGAGTGACCTTGGGCAGGTCTCCACCCTTTCTTTAACCTCAGTCTTCCCAGTTATCCAATGGAAATGTTGATCCCATTCCTACCGACGTCTACAATAACTAACAGGAGCAAATGAGGCTATGATAGGAAGGTGCTTTGGAAGCTGTGAGTAAGCAGTCATGTGGGAAAGGAAGGTAGTATTGATAACTCCAATAATGGTGATATTCAATTGATCTGGAGATATGAGGGGAGGAGGGAACAAGTAGGGTAAGGCCCCTAAAGTTGCCCAGGCAACCAGTTTGATAGGTGTGAGGTGGAGTTCAAGAACTTTGAACTCAGAGAAGCAGGAGAACTTTGGGGAGAGAAGAGGTTTTGAT